TTAGTCTGAAATTGCTCTTGGTGGAAGACATAACATCAACTTCTTGATTAGATTATCTCCTGGTGCTTCGGTGAAATCCCTTTCATAACTACATAGCTGGTTCTAAATCTTCAAACTGTTAGTGAAAACACATGGAATATATCATCTAAATTAATATTTTATTTCACATATAGACTGTCAGTTTAGTTACAAGAATCAGTTCGTCTCATATTTGCTGGTACTTTGATGAAAAAATATCTATTGGTATTTGATAAAAATTATCAACTCATGGTACTACTTAGTACTTGGCAACATAAGGTCCTTAAACCTGGTAACTGAGTTTTTTTTTAAATAATCTTTCATTTTTCAGTACAGTTGACATACAATATTATATTAGTTTCAGGTGTACAACCCAGTGATTAGACATTTATATAACTTACAAAGTGATCACCCTGATAAATCTAGTACCCATCTGATACCGTATGTAGTTATTACAACATTATTGACTATATTCCTAATGCTGTACTTTACATCCCCATGACTATTTTATAACTACCAATTTGTAATTCTTAATCTGTCTACCTATTTCACCTATCTCCCCGCCCCCACCCTCCTCCTGTCTGGCAACCGTCAAAATGCTCTCTGTATCAGTGAGTCTGTTTCTTTTTGGAATCTATACATAGCTCTTCCCTGGAGATACTTAAAGCATGCTATGGGAAATGCAAAATGCATTGATCATTTGAATAGACTTGGCAAGGATTTTCTTCATTCCTATTCCCTTGATCCAAAATATTGCCCATGTTTACAAGCTCATATGAACGCTCAAATGTTTTAAAATCATTTTGGGGGAAATGTATGGCTTACATTATATAAATATGTTTACTCTGTTTAAAGCTAATTGTCATTGTTTTTAAAATTGTTTTATTGCTGTTATTGTTTGGTTATTCTTCTGTTTACATTGCTTCTTTGAAAGCGCAGATTTGTTTAGTTTGTGCTAAAATATTAGTCTTGTTCAGGGCCTGACAGATAGTGAATAATACTCATGAAACCTTAGACAATTCATTTAACTGCCTTAGTGTCAGTTTCATTAACTGTAAATGAATCTGTTGTGGATGGTCCCTAAGAAGAGTGACTCTGAAATTGGAAGTGAGGTGACAGGAGAAAGGTGACTTTCATATTACACCCCCTCATGCAAATAACAAACGATGTTGCTGATAGGCATGTATTATGCATGGTATCAAAGTAGAGACAAGACAGGGCATAATTCTTTTTAGTTCCTTACTGCTTTAAGAATTTGTGATTTCACGATCATAATCTTTTCATGTTCGTCTATCAACAAAACCAAATGAACTCATTTTTACAAAATTGAGTCTACTTTGATCCTGTCAGTTGCTGAAGAAAGGGTCAAAAGCCACTCAAAATCTTAAAATTGAGATAAATCAATAATCATGACTTCTATTTATTGAGGTAGGTGTTCTTCGTTTTTATTCAAAAAGTAATTTGTCTTCTAACTACCCTGGTGAACTACAAAGGGGAGTTTTTATTTTATTTTTATTTATTTATTTATTTTATTTTTATTTTTTTATCCTCACCCGAGGACATTTTTCCATTTCTTGTTCAGATAGAGTGGGAGGGAAAGAGAGGAAGAGAGAGAGAGAAACATCAACATGAAAGGGACACATCAAGTGGTTGCCACCCGCACGACCCAGCCAGGGCCGGGGACAAACTGCAACCGAGGTACGTGCCCTTAGCAGAAACTGAACCCGGGTCTCTCTGGACACAGGCCAACACTCTAACCACTGAGCCAAACTGGCCAGGGCAGGAGTTTTATTTTTAACTTTCATGTTTTAACCTTTATTTTTAACCTTCTTTCTGATAATACACTTCTTTAACACATTAACTTGTACTCCACTTTGTGTGTATGTGTTTTATCTTTACATATAACCTATCATTAGTTTACTAATAGTAACAATTCAGACTTTGGAAAGTAAATGTTGGCTTGCTTATTATTTTTTTTAATCCCACTTATTTTATTCTAATCAAAGAAAAATATTTTAAGCCATCTGTTTTCTCCATTCCTGGCTGCTATTATCTTGACTATAATTGCCTAGTTTCATTTCTAGCTGATCTATTGCTAGCCTTTATCTGAATGTTATTAAAGAATATAAGTGCTCCATAGAGCACCATAGTCTCAGCCAGAATATTTTCCGATTCTCAGCTAAAATGAAACAGAACCTGTGGTTTGGCTGTTAAGTAAGTAGTTCAGATTTGTTGTCAGTGTGTAAGGATCTCTAAATTCATTGTTAGTTGCAATGTAGCATTTGAAAAATAGCTTCGACTGTTTATGGATTGTGGTCCTTGGGCACCAGATAGTGGATGTTGGAATGTATTGCAGAAAAGCTGATTAAAGTACAAGGCTCTCTAACAGTAAGAGTAGAAAGCCATTTGTAACACCTGTGTCCTACTCGGATGTACTTAAATGTTTCCTTTAGAAAGCCTTGGTTTATTGTCAGCTTATCCATGAGGGAATAACATTTTTGCAAAAATGTGCCTTTTGGAGAAAGCATCAATAAGTTATACTTGATGAGAAGTTTATGTAGGTAGACTGATTTGAACTTCAGAGATCCCAAATACTTTGCGGTATTATTACCTACATTATTGGAGTCATGTTTCACTATGACTTAGATTTCAATAGTAGCTACTTTCAGTTCCCAATTTTAATGTGTTTTTACTGTATATCAGGGAATTTATACTTCAAATATAAACTGTCAGAATTCATTGTCCACTCTACCCACTTCCTCTTTGCTCTGGGCCACTTTCCTTCCCAACAAAAGTTCACTAGAGTAGAGATGGAAATAGTTTCCATGATCACAAAACTTACAGATCTTGAAACATACTTTGCACTCCCCTTGTTAAAACACTTCTCATTATTTTCAAAATAATGTTCACATTTCTTAGAGGGCCTCCATGATCTTTCTAATTCTTCTTTGCCTCATTCTTACCCATCCCCGGCAGGTGTCCTTGGTTTCAGGTTTACAGAGCTACCATTTTCCTTCTCATCCCTTTAGTTTGTTTGCCACCTTCTCCACCACCCTTCTTCACCTGAGGATCACCTGTTCTTCCTTCATAACTCTGTACAAGTTTCCCCTCTCCCAGGAAACTTCCTTGAACTATAATCACCATTTAGAGTAGCCTTCAAGCTCTTCGTAGCATTTTATAAGATTTTTTTTATACTCTAGTCATTTGTTTACTTGTCTGTCTCATTTGATAGTCTATTACAGAGATGATAGTGTCTTTTTTTTTGGTTTTGAATCTGGCATATAGGCCTTTCAAATAAATGTTCATTGACTGGCTGAATGACTTTTGTAGATAATGCCATAATTTGACTTTCTTTGCTCTTGATATTTAAGGTATTTGAGGGTATGGGTTATGCTGTTTTCCTCACAAGAGGTTTTTTAATAGACTGACTAACTTCCATATTGCCAACTAACATGTTTAATAAAGATGAGCCTTTGGCTTTGGGGAGTCAAGAACTTCATTGGTGAGGGATATAATAATATAAATCTTAAATTGTCAGTTAAAGAATCTGGAATACAATATATGGGAAATTGTAAAGACCAGCTCCTATGATCTTGAATCATTCATTCTAGCTTATCTATGTATATTGTTGAACCTTTCATTTATTGGTATGTAAAATTTCCTTAGGAAAGAATAGATATTTAAAACCTATTTTCTTGTTTGAAAATAACTTTTTACAGTTTTTAGATTTTAATATAATCTTAATTTGGGAAGCAAGACTAAGTTTAAACTAAAAGAATATTTGCTAATGATGGGTTATGAACTGAAACATGTGCTTGGCGGTCCTGAGGTGTCTTTACAGTAGTTGCGTCAATATTCTGCATTCTGTAGCAAAACAAACAAAATGCAAAGAAATCTATATTTATAAGTAAGATTTTTAAAAATAATTTAAGCTTGTTTCTTAAAAGCATTAAAACATAATTATTTCTTCAGTGATATAGCTGATTCATATATTATAGCTGAATCACAGTCCTGGCTGTTCTTTTTATCTATTGAGTGAATACACACTATATTAATAAAATTTCTTGTTCTTTAATTAAGCTTTCAAAAGAAACTTGTTTGTTAGATCTTGAATACCATAGGAAGTTTGTATCGAAGGTCTTAAATTATGTACCTCTTTTTCTGTGACATATTAAAAAATACGATGAAGAAAATTATTCACATCTCTGTAGTTGGATATCTGCTCATTCTCAGAGACCGTAGCCTGCTTTTTAAAAATATTTTAAAGATTTCTTATTTGTTAAAATTTGGTACTGAATTTGTATAAAGTGTAAAGATTATAAGCCTGTTAGAATATTGGTGTCATTTAAGAATGTACTCACTGTTGTGGTTCTTGGAGCACTGCCTCCAAGAGGCTCCCAGCATTTGGTACATGGTTCACGTATTCCTAGTCTACAGACCTACCCTATGGAGGCAAAGGCTTCAAGGTTCTGATTTTATTTTCTCCTGCTATAAAGCTCAGCAATGGTAATTAATTTTTTGAACTTTCCATGTCTTTACAAGTAAAATTAAATTTTTTGAAGACAAATAATTTGTACCTTTAAAGAGCCACATTATTTTGCTTTTGTCTCAGAATGTATTATGCTTCACAAGTATACTGTGACAGGCTGAATAGAAAAGGGGGGAGGGGACATTGTCTTCAGCTGGCATGCTGTTATCAGAGGGAATGTGTTTCTGGACACGAGATTTAGCATTCATTGGTTGTCTGAAGAAAGCTACTTCATCTGAGGATTGGACAAGAAGCTGCGTCAATTTGCTGCCCGTCTCCAAGGCACTGGTGATGCTGCCTTCACAAGCTGGCTAACGTCACGGCTCCATCACCCAGCGGGGTGTGGACTATCTTTTTCTGTTCTTCTCTATTTAATTCTCTGTTTGCTACCTACTGCATTTCTTAATCTGTCTTCTGCCAAATGCTAACAGCATGATATTTTGCAATCATCTAGGTGAATACAAGAAAGACGAACTCCTAGAAGCTGCTAGGTAAGTGATTCCATTCATTTTAAGTGAGTATAATGCATTTAAGGGAGAAAAGGGGGAGGGCAGGTGGAGGACTATAAAAATTATAACATGTTATTGTCTTGCTTGGATTTTATGCAATAATGCAGATAAGACTTTACACTAAATCTTTGTGTACTTTATTTTACATGATTAGTGTATTAAGTGAGACAGTCTTTCAGTCTGGTGATGATCATAAGGTTAATTTTATTTGGAACATATCTTAAGGTACCTGCAAACCTCAGTTGCCTAGCTTTTCCAGTGATATGCTCGGAGTATTTAAATACCTACCTATACCTTCTTTTTTCTTTGAAAAATTGTCTAATTTTCAAAAGCTTGAATGAGGCATATAGTAAATGTTAAAATTCTCATCCATTTTCTTTTGTTCTTGTTCATTTATAATTTTAATTGATTGGCTTTTTACAGCATTTTGTATGTATTTTTAACTCTTGTGTTTTAGATGACTTATCAGAATAAAGTTTGTTTGTAATCGGGAAGGTGACTTTATGCAGATAAATAAAACAAATAAAAATGTAGAAAGCTACGTTTTCCAAGCTATACCACTACATGATGATTAACAGGACTTAATTAGGAATATATTAATTGAATTGAATACAGCAAAAGAGAGTTATTCAGAATCACATAAAAGAAATCAAAGCAAACCCATCTTATTTTCCACTTTCTTGTGAAAAAATATCTACAAATATTCATAAGAAGCTCTGTCATTTTAAAAGAATTGACATATACCTTTTTATAGGAGTGGTAATGAAGAAAAACTAATGGCTTTACTGACTCCTCTAAATGTGAATTGCCATGCAAGTGATGGACGAAAGGTGAGTTATTTAAAATATAATATTCCCCTTCAGTAATTTCTTTTTGCTTTGCAGTTAAAATGTTTGAAGTTGGCATATATGTATATGCATATGTAGCTGTATTTTCTGGCATCTTTTCACTGTAAAATGAAATGCTCCTGTATCTGTTATTGGCAGTTGTGACATATTCATTGAGCTGGTGAAGCATGGATCTTAAGCCTGTTCTCTTTAAATGTCAGACACTGAAAGTTGTTTGTTTAATGGAACTGCAGCTTTGTCAGTGATTGAAATGATAACAACATATATTTTCTGTGTATGATCATGGAAATTGTAAATATCTGTTTATGTCCTATTTACCCATTTTGTTAGGATATATGCATTTTTTAATTTCTTATTTGGCAGAGGAGGATTTTTTACTACATACCAATACTTTTTCCATTTAAAGCTAAGAAAATGTTGCTAATGATTATTTTAGATCTATGTGACATCCCTGCCTTTTTTGTTTATTATTGTTTATTGGCTAAGTTTTTATCATGGTATATTGAAGGAAAACAGGTTAAAGCAGAGAGAATTATTCTGCATTAATATACAGTTGTCATAAATGTAAGGTAATATATAAAATGTACAGCTGGCATTCATTATCTGCTTCACATTCTTGCTGAATAGAGACTGAAATATATTCCTTTATAGTCTTTAATAATTGATTGCAAAGTTTAACAGTGATTTATTTACCTAATAGATTTTAAGAAACAAAGTACTTTGTACTGTAAAGTCTTTTTTTAAATGGCACTTAATTTTTTAATGTTAAATGATTGCTTTTATATTTTAAAAACCTAAGATATTTTTAATGTTACATTGAAGATATTGAGGAAAACCATCTTGTGCCTAACATTTAAAGAATTAATTCCTTTGAAATTATTTATATTGAAAATAGGCTATGAAAAATATCAGGATGGATGGTGCCCCTTAGAAGTAATAAACTATTTTGCCTTTTAATATAATTTTTCTGAGTGATAATTTTATAGATAAAAATTATTCAGTTTTCCTTGACTGCTTCCACACTTTTTTCCTATTCTAAAGAAACCCATAGCATAGTGGCAAGGAATTGACTGTCTCAGAATATATGTTATTTGTTTTGTATATTATTGTGCATGTTATGGTTTGTATATTATTGTGTGGCTTGTATATTATTTTTACATGGCCTAATGAGTGTTCGGTTTCTCTGGATAATTTAAGGAGACTTCTACTTTCATGTAAGGTTAAATTATGTATATGTAAAGCTCTAAACTAGGAAAGATTTACTCAGTACTACTAATAGTTTTTTGGAGATTCGAAAAATGATAACTGCTCATTTCCCCTTCAATTTTGAGGTTGCTTTGAGGATTTTAACATTCTTGAGTTACTTTAAAGCTCTACAGTTTGTTTGGATCCTCTCAGTAGATAAAGTGACTTTTATCACTGTGCAGAAAAGGGCCTTTTTATCAACGGTAAGTGCACCTGTATCTGTAGACAGGGCTCTTTTTAGAACCCAGCATACTTCGGTTTCCCATAGTCATGTTAATATCGCAGAATGTGTGTGCGATTACTTCGGTTTCCGTCCCCGCCTCATTCTTCCATCTTCACTCCTGTACCTTGACAGTCCCATTTCTAGCTCAGTAAATCATAGTAATGAAGGAGCATGAACACTAATAATTAACAAATTACTTCTTTTCTCTGCCTCACCCCTACACAAATATATATAGAACTCCTTTATTTTCCCTTCTTCTCAAAGGAGATTACACTTTCCTCATTTCTTTTAGCTGAAACCAATGTATTCCTCATCCAAATTCCTGTGGCTCCTTCCCAGTGTAACTCAGTGGCATTTACCACAGAGTTGTTGAATTGTAGTTATTCATACATGACTTTTCTACTAATCTATGAGCTCTCTTTTGTATTTTGCATCAGACCAAGCCAGGTACTTTGCATGTAGTAGAAGCTTAAGATGTGAATATGCCCCCCAATAAACAGTTTTATTCTCTGAGTAAAAAAAAATCATCTGTTTGCTTTGCCATTTAGATAATTAACTCAGAAGAAGTATGTGGATAGGGGATTTTATATTTTTTATTTATATTATTACCAGTATGATTTTACTGATTTATTTTGAGTAATTATGCTATGAAGGGTGACATGTATTTTAATGTGCAGAACATGTCTCAAATATTCTACTGAAGGATTCATAACATAAATAATGCAATAAAGTTTCAAAATGTACTTATTTTTTAGATGATCAATATTCTCTTAGAAAAAATTAAATTTAAGCATTTATTAGGTTTTAGTGCCATTTATGCATAGAATCATTTAAAATTTTCCATTGGTATACAAAATGCAAATAAAATTTCATAATTAGAATTGAATAATATTTCTATTTAAATACTACCTTTGTTTATGGCACAGCAATTCTTTTTAAAAAATTTTTATTTATTTGTTTTGTTACAGATGTGTCCCTCCTTTTCCACCCATTGATACCCCCCCCACTCCCACCATCTTCACTGTATTGTTCTTATTAAATATACCAGTTGCAGTAAAGCCACAAAGCAGTAAATCCTCTGGGTGCTAATAGAGATTGGGATAAGATCCCTTAGTTATGACATTATCTTTTGTTTACTCACTATTGATGTCAAGAAAATATGTAAGCAAATCTAACTTTTAAATTACAAGTCTGATTTATATATTTAATATTTTTCAAGCCATTTGCATGCATTTATCGAGAATTAGGAAGTCAGATTTTACATTCAGAGGATAAAGGCACTTTACATATATAGTACGTTAGTCAGGTATATAGTTTTATTTCTCGAATTTGCATTTTAGAACACAGTGCAGAATCAAATTCATTTTTAGAGAGTTTCTAAATGACTATATTAATGCGTAACTGAGTCCTTTCCTGTCTCTGTTTTTACTATGATCCCTGGTAATTAAAAGTCCCATGGAAATGTCAACTTTGTAATATTTTTAGAAAAGACTTGTTTCTTATACATTAAATAGTAGGTAGAGAATTTGCCTAGATGTGTGTGGGGGTTTAGACTTCAGCATTCCTTTTTAATGTAATGTGTGGGATTATTACTGTGACAGTGTACATTTTAAATAGTCTCTCAATTCCGTCCTGTGACGCACTGATTATCAAATTAGGTAATATGTGAATGGTTAATATTTTTATTTCCCATAGACATTTATTTTTATAACCTAAAAATAAAAGTGGAACTTGACTACTCTAGAAATTTCCAATTTTTTTTTCCCTAAAAAGTGAAGACAGAACTTTTTTTTAAAAAAACTTTATTCCGAAATGCTACTTTTATAGAATTATATACATGTTCTAATGATGATCACATTAGAAACATATAGGCATAGATATAATTTATTCCTCTTGTATTTCCTTCCCATTATGATTAGATATAACATTCCACAATTATTTTGAATTGCAGTGAAATATAACCAGAAACTTAAAACAGATAGTATTTTCAAACTTAGATTTATTCTCTTTTAATTTTCCTTTACATTATTTTCTATCAACTATTTTATTAGCAAATATACAAATGTTCTGGCTCTATTTGATATATAGATTAAAGGTGGTGTTCTTGTTTTTCATTATTCATTTTCATAAGGATACCTTTTTACAGTGAATGGAAGTACTTCAATACATCTCAAATTATTTTAACACTGAACCCTTTTCAGAGTGCATTTTGGTCCCTCTCCTGTTATTTTCTTTTCGTGGCTGTCTTTAATACTCTTTCAGAATAAATGTTCTGAATTTATCATCTCCTTATAACAATGAATAGGTTGGAGTTGGGCATTACTGTGAACATATTCCTAAGTAGGAATACCGTGTATCTTTGCAATGCCTACTGTTGCTATGATTGGATGTCACCAAATATTTTTATTTTTTATTTTTATTTTTTATCCTCACCGAGGACATTTTTCCATTTTTTGTTCAGGTAGAGTGAGTGGGAGGGAGAAAGAGGAACAGAGAGAGAGAGAGAAACATCGATGTGAAAGGAACACATCGAGTGGCTGCCACCCGCACAACCGACCAGGGCCGGGGACAAACTGCAACCGAGGTACGCGCCCTTAGCGGGAACCGAACCCGGGTCTCTCAGGACCGCAGGCCGACGCTCTAACCGCTGAACCAAACCGGCCAGGGCGGATGTCACCAGATATTGAAAGTAACTAATATTTGGTTGGAACTAAATGTATTCTTGAGTTATATTTACCAGTTTTAAGAATACGTATTAAAATTAGTATCTGGCTGAAAATAATGCAGCAGTGTTCATTTGAATCCATAAAGTATATCCATGCAACACAAAAAACATACAGGATTAATGCAGTTTTTTTGTATTTATATTTAAACTTTAGGTTTATATACATTTGTCATATTGTAATACAGTATTCTTGGTTAATTTCTTCCTTCAGTGTAAATCTTCTCTGATAATCATGTTTGACCAGCATTTTAACAGTCCCTCTATGGTAGATTGTTACTTTGAAGACCCCTCAATAAACTGTGCCTTTCATTATTTATGCCCTTGTCTAGCCCTCTCCCACACAGACTCTGAGCTGAGCCAGGACTTCCTTTAAAGTAGAGCAGAACTACCCTATGCCATTTCCAGGACTAGCCCTGGAGTTGGCCTGGTGGCTGCCAGTTTCTCGCTTTTGGAATGCTCTGCCTTATAACCCAGCTGCCATGCTATGGGGCAGCCCAGGCAGCCATGTGGAGAAATGGAGAAGTCCTGTGGAGAACTGAGGCCTCTAGCCAGCGACCCACTGGAGCTCAGTTAGGTTTCTCAGTGACTTTAACCACCCAGGCATCCCAGACAATCTAGCCTCTGCTGACTTCTCAGTCCAGCCTCCAGGTGACATGAGCAATCCTAGCACCTAGTGTATGGAGCAGAAGAGCTGCCCAGATAACTCACCATTTTCCAGGTGGTTTGTTATCTAGTAATAGAAACTGAGCTCCCCCTACTCTAAGAAAACAATTCACTCAATGCTTATTA